TTCTCTTGTGACTATTCCAACTAGCTTCTTCTCTTACCCTTTTTCCTAACTGGCATCTTTCCTCATATTTTTTTTCAACTTTAATGATTCTAAATGTTTTCAGTTATAACCTATTTCTTAAGGCTGAATGAGTTAAGGTTCGCTTGTGACTCTGGTTTCCAGTTGTCTTGGCCCAACTACTTCAGCTCTCCCTCCAGTCCGTGGTTCTCATGCCCATTCTCATTCCATCCTTCTCACTGCCAACTCACTTGAAGTCACATTCATCTGCTCCCTTATAGCCCTCTCAGACTCCTGGCTGGGGATTCAGAGCTTTGGAAAATGCTCTGGTTGGTCCTTTTTTTATTTGATCCTCATTTTAAAAAAATTTATTTATGTATTTGAAAGAGAGAGACAGAGAGAAAGCATGAGCAGGGGGGAGGGGTAGAGGGAGAGGGAGAAGCAGACTCCCCACCGAGCAGGGAGCCCCACCCCAGGACCCTGAGATCATGACCCGAGCCAAAGGCAGACGCTTAACCAACTGAGCCACCCAGGCGCCCTGATCCTGAGGTTGTAAGGAGCCATTCTCTAGCTTTATTCCCGCTCTTGCAACGATACGGTTCGAACTGAAGATGGTTCCTGTTGGGGTTGGTAAGTTGTTGGGAGAGGAAAGGAAGTGCTCATGAAGGAGAGAAAGCACTGATGGCTGAAAGCAGAGGTGGCTGAAGGTGAATGTAAGGGCTCCCGGGATGGGAGGAGGCAAAAAGTGCATGACTCACCCGTGCTTGAAATCTCCCACCCTCTGCTCATTTCCCTCTGACGCTGATAGCATAGGTGACCCAGAAACATCTGAAGAGCCCCAGAGTCTGATGTCCTTCTCCTCAAGTCTTCTTTCTGTAGTCCTACAAATCCTCTGTCCCTGAAATAGCTAATGACCGTATAATTGTATCCCTTCCACTTCACCCCCCCCTCAGAGTCCTGGGGAGACCACTGCGGTGGACGGCAGCAGGGATTGGATGGCATGAGGGATCTGCCCGTCCAGATTTCTTGATGTGCCTCACGAAGGTGACCTATCTTCCACGGACCATCAGATGTTTTTGTCCTTTGGCTTCAGTTAGCATGACCAAGAGGAGATGCTGGCAGCAGATGACAGAGAGGAAGAGGAGGGTCATCCTCTGGCTTCCTCCTGGTCAAGTCCCTGTGGGCTGGGTGTACCTCTCCACCAAAGGCCGCAGGGCTTACTGGACAGCCCCCTCTAGTTTCTGCTCCCCGTTCCCTCCTCTTCAGCCTGGGCAGCAGCATTGTTCAGGCTCAGCCTCAGACACAGCATTGTTGCTGCTCAGCCCTTGGCTATTGCACCACCGTCTGTCCAAACCTGTCCTGTTTGGGCTCTGTCCAAACCCTGCCCACACCTCCCTACAGTCTCCCTTTATGCAACTTGCCTCAGTTCTCCAATGTGCTCCCGCTTCCTCTGAGCCCCTGACACATAAGATCAGGAGGTAAAGGTAAGGTAAGGGAGGAGAGAATCTGGATATTTGAGCTTTCCTTAAAATCAGAGAAACACGGGTTGGAAGCCCAGCTAGCTATGCGATCTAGTTATTTACCTTTTCTGCATGTGCTTCCCTCCACTTGCGATGGGGATAAGATCTACCTGGTGGGGTCACGAAGGCGAGACAGTGTCTGTGAGGGCGATAGTACAGCACCTGGCACACAGCAGGTGCTCCATGTGGAGACTCTGCTGTGATTATTACATGTGAGGCACTGTCTGGAGAATGAAATCCATTACTTCATGCTGAAGAGAAAACAGAATGGGATGGTGCTTTGGCGAACTTGTTTCCTGTATCGGATATTTTTAGTTTTGCCTCAAGTTTGCCTTCTCACTCATGCCTGGGTTCGTTGGCTGGGCTTGTGAGAAGGTATGCGTATCTTAGTTTGTGGGGAGGGCAATCGATGGACAGGAGGCAACTGTGACAAGGACACTCAGGAGACTTTGTCCACGTGAAGATGACTTGGGCTTCCGCACTGAGAGTATCAGATAGAAGGGGCAAAGTGGGAAGAGCGACTGAGCTCATGGGGTGCATCTTCTCTCCCCTCCTTCTCCACGAAGTCTGAGATATTCCTCCATTTCATGGGTCAGGGCACTGGGCAACAGCAGATAATCAGCTTTGTATTTGTCCTTCATAGTTTTTAAGAGAAGCAACACATTGTAGGGGTTCCTCACACTGAAAGATGGCCTAGTGGGGAGGGGCTGGAGGCAGAGCGGCAGGTAGAGCAGGCAACAGGAAAGCCACTAAGTTGTGGCAAAACCCGGTAATCACCCTAGGCATTTATCTGGCGCCTTTCTCCCTCTCCAAACACACTGCTTCTTAATCCCTCAGCACAAGGCCGCTGGATGGAGACAGAGGCTTAAAGAAGAGCCACAGCATCCTTGAGGCTACGCAGGGCTCAGTGTGAAAAATAGGAACCAGATGGAAGGAGGCTCTATTTAGCCTGATCTCAAGAGTCTGCTGGACACACTGTGGCTGGCCAATAATAGCTATTGGGAGTGGAGTGGGTGTGGTTAGCATAGGAAAAAATCTAGATCCCGTGGTTTCTGTTTTTACACCTCTTCTCTCTAAATGCTGGGAACTCCAGCTCAGTTTCTCAACACCTGTGGGCAAGGCAGGAGTAGGTTGCTGGAATTTAAGCAATGCTCCCATGTGTGGAGGGCATGGCCTGCAACTGGCAGAATGGCTAGGGGCCTGGATTCCAGAAGAAAATACAATATCCAAGAGTCAGCCTTTCCATTCCCCACTCCATCACTTCCTGTAGCAGGCAGCTCCTAGGCCACCTGGAGAAATGAAGTATAGCATGACTGAAGGGGAAGGGTAAAATAGACATTTTATTATACACAGTAGCAAAAATGGGACAAGAGTTAAATCTAGAGTGATGGTCTTCATATCAATTCTCCAATTTAGAGGCACTCAACCTAAACATCCTCTTCTCAGTCCTGGAGAAATGGATTCTCATGTAGGAGAAAGCTGTGGTCCAGTTCATGAGGGTGATGCCTAATGAATGTCACTTAGTCTCAGTGGAGGGCCAAACCCATTTGGGAAATGTCTCCCAAGGGTAGGAAGGCCATGCTAGATAGGCCCATCAGAAAAATCAGGAATCTCTCAGGCCCACAAGGCAATAAAGGCCATGAAGGCAAAACCAGCGGCTACGCAGCCCCATTTGGCCAGAGGGGCCTCAGGGCCAGCTAGCTCCCGGGGCAGAATTTCCAGGAAGGTGACATACAGAAAGGTGCCGGCTGCCACACCTTCTAACACAGCCTGGGCTAAGCCCTGCCCCGCTTTAGAGTCCCCTTGGGTCACAGCCAGCCCCAGGACTAGGCCCATGGGGGACATGAGAGCTAATGACAGTATGGACAACATGGCCCATCGTGACCTAGTTCCTATTCGCACCAGCCGTAGTCCAACCCCAAACACTACGAGCCCTTTGTGAGCCAGGACAGCAAGACAGAGCTGAATGGTGGTTGCTACTGTTGGCTGCAGCCCCACAGCTAGCCCTTCAAACACTGAGTGAAAGGAGAGCGAGAGCAAGAGGACGAGGGCCCGAAAGGGGCCCTTTGAGGGTGAGGGTGGGGGTCCATGGCTGTGGAGTTCAAGGACATGAGTCCCACCCCACTCCTCCTGCACTGTCGTTCCTCCAGCAGCCCCAGGACAGCACTGCAGTGCCAGCGACTCCAGAAAGAAGACAAAGAAGAAGCCCAGGGAGATGATGAGCTCTCCGTAGGGATACTCCATCTAGGAACAGAAAGAGGGTCTGTGAGGTAGGAAGGGAAGAGAAGCAAGGACACTGGGTGTCCATGGGAGTGGGAGACTAAAGAGAATGGGAAATGTGGGACTATGCCTAGTGAGTAAGAATTGGCCAACTCTTTGCCCCGCTGGCATTCCCTCTGGTCTGTGGCCTTATTCCCATCTGCTTCAGATGCTTCCAGATTGATGCAGCATATTGGGCATAAAGAAGGGCAGGGGAATGAAGCCAAGAGCAGGTATGGACAGCAACGAGAAGAATCCCTGAGGGACTAAGGGACACCAGAGTAATAGGGTTAGTAATATGGGAAAAGAATGTGAGGCATGTCAAAGGGATGGAGAAAGAACAAAAAAGTAAAGCAGAGCTTTTTCTGGGGTTCCACAAACCCAAATGGATTGGGTGGGCTCCTCCTTTCCTCTGTGCTGAGCTGAGGAGCAGAGGGGATCCCTGGTTTCCTCACATACTCCCCTCAAAAGGGTCCGGGAGGTTCTCCTCCCCCACTAGGGAGGGACTGGTGGGAGATACTTACCTGAGCTGAATCAGCATCATCAGAAGCATTTCCCTCCCTTTCTGTCCTGTTCTAGAGAGAGAAAAGCAGAAATCAGGTGGGGAGCAGCTCAGCTTCCTGTCCTGCCCCTTCAGCTCCCTCACTTTCCCTAAAGTCCAATGTGACTGGTGTTCACCATGCCAGAAAGAGTCCTCTTGCTTGTCCTTCCACCCTTGTCCTCAGCTCTGTCATCTTCCCCCCTCATCATTCTGGCCTCACAGCCCTGCTGCTTACCATTTCTGCTGCTCACCTGCATCTTAAACTTCTGGATCTCTGAGTCAATTCCCTCCAGGGCTTCAGCAGTCATGTGCATGAGCCCTGCTCCCAGGAAAACACCAGCAGAGGTGCAGCCCAGGAGGCTGAGGACCCGGCGGTGACGACCTAAGAAAACGAGGAGTTACAATCCAGTTGGCGATGAGATAGAAAAGGTGACAAAAGAGCAAGCATGTGGCACCCAATCTCCCCAGCTTGGGGATGGTGAGAGCCTCGGAGCAAGGCATCAGGATAGGTGACATGGCCATAGTCAGGCTGAGGTTATGGGGCTGGCAGCGGCAGGGCTGTACCTGTGGCGGCATCAATCTGGAACCACTTGAAGCAGATGGGAATAAGGCCACAGACCAGGGTGAGAATCAGCAGGGCAAAGAAGCAGCCAATTTTCACTCCTAGTTGTGGTTCCATCCTTGGGGTACAGGATAAGCAGATGCTTCAGAATAGCAAATGGGAGTTACGATCTTCGAGCAGGAGTGTGGAAGTAGTCAATCAAAGCTGGAGTATCTCCTCTCCCGAGCTCCAGGAGGGCGATGGGATCCTCCTGTTCTGTGTTGCCTCTGCTTGCGTAGCCTTGCATAGCTGACTGGGGCCCTGCCTCAGATTCCCGCCCTCCCCCTACCAGGAGGCCCCTCCCCTGGCTCACGCCTTCCAGAACTGGGAAACCAGAAACTCCAGACTCCCTGCCAGGCACAGCCTGTGCTGTGTGTCTTCTCCTCTTCACTGCCATGACTAATCCAAATGCTGTGGACAGTCTTCTTTCATGCCTGGTGCTGGTCTAATCCAAAATGGGAGTCTATGGAGGTCCTTCCCAGCTGTTTTGTACTGGGAACACCTGGTCCTGCCTTATTTAAGACATTTGATCTAAGACTCCCAAACCTTCTCCACCCCACCCTATGTCTCGTAGGTTGTTATGCTGATATCTGAACCCTACCTTTTCAGAGGGGATTTGGGGCCACCTTTGGGTAGGAGGTGGGGCTGAGAGGTGGTACCGCCACCCGCCACTCTGTGAAAACTAGTAGATGAGGGGCCTCCCCTCTCCTGTAACCCCAGAGAAATAGCTCCAGGCATGGCAATTTCTAGCGGGGAGTTGAGATTTCTAGTATTACAATATTGATGTTGTTCCAACTTTTGACTGTGCCTGTTTCTGGATACATACATAGCTACCACAACTTATGATGGGGTGATGTTCCAATGGGCCCAGCCTAAATTGGAAACCTCCTAGGTTGAAATGCATTTAGTATACATAAGCTACCAATCCTAGCTTCGACTAGCTTTAAATGCGCTCAGAACACTTACATTAGCCCACAGTTGGGCAAAATAATTTAATCAAAGTCTTATTTTGTAATAAAGTGCTGATATCTCATGTAATTTACCACATACTGTCCTGGAAGTGAAAACCAGAATGGTTAGAAGTGTGCCAGCCGTTTACCCTCGTGATGGAGCGATTGCCTGGGCGCTGCGGCCGCCCAGCATCACAAGGGACTATCATACCACGTACTGCTGACCTGAGAGAAGAGCCAAATTCAAAATTCAAAGTCTGGCTTCTACTGAATGTGCCTCACTTTCACATCATCTTAAAGTTGAAAAATTGAAAATCAAGCCACGGTAAGTCAGAACCATGTGTACTGGGGGAGAGGGCCTGAGAATTTTAAGACAAAGAAAGGTTCTCTAGCTCTGAAATAGCAAGGCCTAGCGAAAATCCGAGAAATGAACAAATGGAAGGATCTTGCCTGGAGCTACAGGGGTGGAGATGGAAAATTCAGTCTTGATGGGATCGGCTCTTGAGGAAAATGTATCAGGCAAACCCTGGAGGAGCTGATGAACCCTGAGAAAGACAGAAGGAAGGGAGGGAGAAAAACACAGAGGCTAGGCAGCCCGGCTCCCCTATTTAGGTAGCCCACCAAACAACTGTGACACGTGCCGAGCCAGAGCTCAGAGACTGGGGGCGGCTTTCCCTACTGCCCCAGATTATTTCCTTGGGAAGTCCTGGTCTCTGGTAGAAGCAGTATCTCAAAATCTTGCAACCTGTGTGGGAAGATAAGGCACTGAATATCTGAGAATTCTCTCTGCTATAGGACTGAACATGACAACTGACCTCTGTATCTTTTAGGAATCACAAGATCCATTTCTACTCTTTGAAAACTTTTTATTAGTATTAAAGCCTCAAACCAACATACATAGGGCTGCCAGCACTCCCACCCTGGATACCAGGGAGCTTCAGCCTTGGCAGGCCTAAGTAAGAAAATCCTTGTTACACCTCCTTGTCAACTCCCAGGGGAGTCGTCAGCAGGGGACAGAGGAAGCTCCGACTCTGAAGGCTTGATCACAGGTAAAAGATCTCCCCAGGAGCTGACTCGAGCACAACGATACAAATCCCTATGGAAAAGAGAGGTCAATGTGGGCTGTAGGTTCTTGCCACCTCCCCCTAATTTTGGTCACACTCTTTATACCTGCCATGCTGGCGGGCTGTGATCACAGCATGCTGCATATGTCCATCTGGACAGCACAGGTGACAATGCACATGGCGTGGCCGTTTAAGGACAGGCTGAATGATACGGGGCCAGCGATTAGCCTCCTCTGGAGACCCCCGGGCAAGAATTACCATTGAGAACTTTTCATCTTTTTGCTTCTTCTTGTTCTAAGATAAGGATACAGAGAGACTATTTGGAGAAAAAAGAGATGGTGAAAAAAATTGTGATCCCCCTTCCCCCATCCCTGCAGCCCTTTTCAGATTCTATAAGCCATGTACACCCAGGCCTGCAAACCTCCAGGCTCTTCTCTGACTTCTCTAACTCCTCCCACCTCTGACTCCTTATCATCCTGTTCCCCTAGACTACTTTCTCCCTGCCCTAACATTCCCAGGAAACATACCCAGCTGAAGGGGATGCAGTGGTAAGCTTGAGAAAAGCTACAGGCCAGGGGCTTAGAGGCTGTCAACTGGGGACAGGGAAGTTCATGTGGACACTGTGAACACACAGACAAAAAAACCCAGACAATCATACAGCTGAAAAACAAAGAGTGACAGAGTTAAGAAGGGCTAGGGCAATGGGAACATAGGAGCTGGAGGCAGGGAGAGCCACGGCAACAACTAAGAAAGATACTGAATAGGGACACAAAATAGTAGAGGGTGGCTTAGCTTTACCCTCTCACTTTTCCTGGCCACAGCTGAGTTTACATCTTTGCAGGCTGGGAAAGGCAGAAGTAATACTCACTGGGGCAAAGACAAAGCCAGGTCGAGGGTCCAAAGGTGACTTCTCTTTTCCCTAAAATAAAAAAAAATTAAGCTGGGTCTGAGGGGTCTAGTCTCATAACTCAATCTCTGTACTCAGTAAACTGAGGACTCCTTTAACATTCAATTCTGATAATTATTAACTAGGCTCCTTGAGTTAAGCTGGCTGCTTCACTAATACTCCAAACAAAGAACCTTCTCTTTGTAGTAGGAGAAAAGCAGGAACTTGGCACATAGTATGGTGCTTTCCCTTGTCAGCAACCTCTACTCTCAAAAAGATCCCACTCCAGGACAATTAAATTTATGATTATACACTGGCTCATACTGTCCCCAAAAGATAAGGTTCTTGGCTTAGCAATGCCCTGGATCAGGGGTTGGAGCACTTACTCTTTTTTAAAGGCCTAGAGAGTAGGCAAAATCTGTTTCTGTCCCAACTATTCAACTCTGCTGTTTATAGTATGAAAGCAGCCTTAGACAGGACACCTGGGTGGCTCAGTTGATTGAGCATCTGCCTTCAGCTCAGGTCACGATCCCAGGGTTCTGGGATCGAGTTCCACACCATGCTCCTTGCTCAGCAGGGAGCTTGCTTCTCCCTCTGTCTGCAGCTCCCTCTGCCTGCAGCTCCCCCTGCTTGTGTTCTCTCTCTGACAAACAAAACTCTTAAAAAAAAAAAAAAAGGGCAGCCAGAGACAAGAGACACACCAATAAGCATGGCACATATGAAAATAGGTGGCAGGCCAGATTTGATCCACAGGTCCTGGTTTGCTAATCACTACCCAATATCATAACAACTTTATATGCCTAATATCCTGAGAGTCACCCTTACCATTGTATGACAGAGTCTCTTCAGTCTTAAGGGAGCAGCAGTGACCACTGACAGATGGTGGGACAGGAGTGAAAGAAGGAGAAAGACTCTTACCTTAAGGACGAGGTCCCTGGCATCCATGAGAAGGCAGTGCCCAGCTTTTGTTCCATTCTCTACCAATACCTGTTCACAAAAAAGGAAAATAAGCATAAGCTTTGAATTACATGAAAACATAAATGCTAGCAGCTCTGTAAGAACATTAACAGATGCAGCAGAGGGCCCTAAAGAAAAGGGCCATCCCCACATAAGATGGGAATGGAGAGCCTAAAAGAGGGACAAAGGGATCTATGCATGATAAAAATGGTCAAGAATGAACACAAGTTTTGGAATGCCTAGGTGGCTCAGTCGATTAAGTATCTGCCTTCAGCTCAGGTCATGATCCCAGGGTCCTGGGATGGAGCCCCACCTCCGGCTCTCTGCTCAGTGGGAATCCTGCTTCTCCCTCTGCCTGCCTATCACCCTGCTTGTGTTCTCTCTCTTTGACAAATAAACATATAAAATATTTAAAAACAAAACAAAAAAACACACTTAAAAAAAAGAATAAATGCAAGTTTCGATGGAGAGAAGGAAATGCATGAAACCCATGACACTGCTTTAAAACTTGAAGGGAAAAAGAAATTTCAGCTCACCAGAAAATGATTTGTCTTGCGCCATAGGGTTTGGACTAGTTCAGTGCGGTCAGCCTTGCTGGGAAGCTCACTTAAGGAGAAGGCTGATACCACCACATCGAATTGTACCTGAGAATCAAGAAAAGGAATGTGAGAGACCTGACATCCCCACTCCTGACCCTCCTTCCAAGACCCTAACAAAGCTCTATCCCCTTATATTTCTTTTGTTTTATCTTCTAACACTCAAGGCTGGGTTGCAAAGCTGAAGCCATGGTTTTCCATCTGCCAAATTCCACATTTAACACTCTAAACATTGGCACTTGCCTTGGGTGATACAGGTAGAAACTGTCTGAAGAAGACACCTGGAACATAAGGCTCCCCAGATTCTGAACCACCTGTGGAGTAAAGCAGAGGCGCAGCAACTTTGAGTGTACAGGTATAAACCGAAGTGATCTCTCAATAAGAAATAGGGTCCCAAGGCTAAAGAAAACCACCAGGCACCCGGGTGGCTCAGGTGCTTAAGTGCCCATCTTTGACTCAGGTCATGATCCCAGGGTCCTGGGACTGAGCTCTCTGCCCTGCAACAGGCTCCGTGGTAGGACTCCCTGCTTGGGGGGGAGTCAGTTTCTCCCTCTGCCCCTACCCTGGCTCATATTCTCTCTCTCTCTCTCTCAAATAAATAAAATCTTAAAAACAAAAACAAAAACAACAACAAAGGGCAGGGAAACACTGGGTTGCCTGTCCTGTTTATCTTACCCAACCCCCCCACAGTCCAGCAAAGGCCTCTACAACCCTCTGCTTGACCACAACAGTGGAAAGAAATCAGACTCATCTTTAACTTTCAGCCTTCCTCTACTCCCCAATAAAACAACTTTTTCATTCTCTGCTTAACTCCTTCAACTTTGAAGAAACCCTTCCTTATCTTTTGTCCTCACCTTTCAGTAACTTTTCTGCCAAAACCAACATAGCAGCTGAGCTGTCCACACACAAATATTCACGTAGGCTCTGGCCCCAAGCACTATGAGCAGCCCTAAGATGGCAAAATATAAATCACCATTTCACATGACAAAGAGTCATCCCTACAAGAGATCCCTCTGCCCCCAACCCCAACCCTGGGAAACAGAATATTATCTTAAAATGGTTGGAAAAACTAACAGTGTTATTTTCTTACTTCATTTACTACTCCTTAAAAAAAGGGCAGACTCAAAAGAACTACTTGTAGGTAAAAAAAAATCTTGGTGCTATGCCCTAGACTAAATTCCTTTCCTTTTTTATCTTTCTAAACATGGGTCTTTTTTCACTTAAAGTTTCTTTAAGTTCTGGCCCTAATCCATATACTTTCTTATGCCTTACCTAATCTGAGAGAAGAAACATTCTAGTTCCCAAATTTCCTATTCTCCCTCTGGCTCCCTAGTCTCTTGGAGTGTTATACACATGGCCCTGTAGAGCTAGAGTTGACAGAGACAGTAAGATACTTACCAAGTGACAGAACCAGTACCCGAGCCAAAATCCATTAAGGTTTGAGGCTGGAACTCTGGAACTCGAACCTGGATCTGAAGAAATATGTAACACTCCACAGTAGGGGAAGCAGACCCTTATTTAGGGCCACTATGAATTAGGGGACCATGACAGAGCAGATGAGATGCGAATGTTGAGATATAATGTAAATACTTTATAGACTGGGAACTTCCTAAGACAATGATTTTAAACATTCCTTGGGTCATGAAACCCTTTCAGAGGATAAAGAGAGCCTCTCAAAAAAAAAAAAAAAGGACATGCAATTTCCCAAGAACCATACCCCAGGAGACTACTTTATGTATAAGGGAACTGATGGTAACAGGTTGGAAGCTGAGGGGCTTTCACCTCATGGAATGCCCTGGAGACTGCTGCAAAGCCACCATCCAGTCTTGCTGCCATATATACCAGGCTCAGGCTCTCATTGTAGCTGCCAGAAAAACCAGAGAGTCACACCTACCAGGAAATAACCTCCATCGCATAGTTAACCTTCTAGATTTTTAGGAATGAAATCTTTGGAAAGGGCTCCTCCAGCTCAGTACTTTCACTCCTTAAAAGAGAGAAGTCCTGGGGCACCTGAGTGGCTCAGTGGGTTAAAGCCTCTGCCTTCGGCTCAGGTCATGATCCCAGGGTCCTGGGATCGAGCCCCACATTGGGCTCTCTGCTCGGCAGGGAGCCTGCTTCCTCCTCTCTCTGCCTGCCTCTCTGCCTACTTGGGATCTCTGTCTGTCAAATAAACACAATCTTTAAAAAAAAAAAAAAAAAAAAAAAAAAAGAGAAGTCCTGAGTTACAAACCAGGTAGGCTTTTCAAACAGGAATTGTGTAATAGTACTTCCCCAGTCTCCTCCTAGAGACAAGATTTTTTTTTTTTTTGCAGCCCTTCTAGCCCCGCTTACCTCAGTTCTTGCCAATGGTATGTAGTTTTGCGCAGGGCTCGCAGCACAGCTTCACGAAGTTTCTCCTCCAATTGACCTAACTCTGTGGTGAGAACAAGAACTGAGTGAGGACCTAGGAAGACCAGGGCTCAGATCCAATATCTGAATATGCTGAGATCCATCCTTCCCCTTAAGCAAAATCTCAAAGCTTAAGAAAAAGCCAAATCTAGAGAAAAATTTTGGGTAAGAATAACAGCAACCACCACCATTACCACCAGAATGCATGAGACAGTATTTCGTCTCTACCAGCAGTTTATTCAACAAGATCAAAACCATCCCACAGGCTTTGCTCTCTTTTAAAGGGAAGTGTCTCAAAGATTTAAAAGGACAGGGTAAGGACTATATTTTGTGGATTTCCTCAGGTCCCCCTAAACTTTAGTACGTGACATCTCCAATGTTCCTAGAGGGAAGAAAGGGGTTTCAAAAATCTCATCTCAGGATTGTGTTCAGCTCAGTACTATTTTATCTACTGAGCACCTATGAACCAGGTACTGTGGGAAGCGCAGGGAACACAAGATGAATAAAAGGCAGGTCTGTAGTATTAAGGAGCTCACATTCATGAAAATAACTTGATGAGTTATACTCATTCTCCTATCCTTGAAGACCGTTTCAGTACTGGACAGGGAGCCATACAGGGATTTTATTTCACTTTAATAAAAACTTAAACCATCCTAATCCAATGGATTTGCAGGAAAAAAACCCTAAGACCTAGATTTTGACGGATACTTAAGTACCTTGCTGACCTTTACAAAAGTCCCAAGAGCAACCTCGGAAACTATTCTGTTTTAGCAAGGCATCACTGTAACAAGCAGCTCCGACCAGAAAAATCAAACAGGAAACCGCAGTATCTGTTTGTCACAGACACTCAAACAGATCTGTAAAATTATTCCTTGCTCTTAATTTCCCACCGGTATTTCAATTGGGCCTACTCTTTATTCTTAGGCCCCACCTGGGTTTTCCAGGAATTTCTTCTCAAGATGGACAGCCCGTCTTTGCAACTCCTGAGGCTCTACAGGTAAACGCCGGCTCCACAGATAATTGGTCAGTGCTTGCACCTGCTTCTCCACATTGGGCATCGAGCTCTCTATGGGCCAAAGATGAAACGCATCACTTAATGCAGACCCAGTTTTTGCTTCTCGGGTTTCCGCTTCCCACCGTTACTCACCGAGCAGCAGGAACTGCGCAGCGGCAGCCAGTGCTGGCGGCACCTCTATGCATGGCAGCTGCAAGATGCCGGGGTGCCGGCGATGGGGCGTCTTTCCCAGAAAATCGGAATTGTTATCGACCTGGGATATGCCCGGAACGATGGCAGCGAGCGTCTGCAGGCCAGGAAAGAAAAGCTGATTGCGGGGCAGAGGAAAGGCTCTGGCCTTCTCTAAGGAAGAGGCTATCCCTGAGATCCAGAGTTTCTCCGAGAGCAGGGAAAGCAGACACTCACGCGAGACTGGGGAGCTTCTCCACTGCCGCGGCGCCACCTGCTACATGTCAGCAGATGCCTCAGTCCCCTCACGGTCGCCATGGCACCGGAGGCGAGCAGGAAACGGAAATGATGAGACCCGTGAGGCGCCCGGAGCAGTGTCAGCCAATGAGAAGAGCGAGTGCTTCTAGTAGCCAATAAACAACCGATATATAAATCACCTCGGAGGCTAACGGTACGTGGGTGGCGTTAGGCCTTGGGTTTCTGCGTAAGCAGTCCACGGCGAAGTGGCGTCAAGGTTGTGCGGGGTTTGGTCTCGACGTTCCGAAGTCGAGGGGCGGGGTGGGGACGGGCCCTTTTCTGGGCTCTCTAGAGAAGCGCCATAGACAGGAAAAGACTATTTCCGGATGTATTACCTACCTGCGTTCCTTGCTTCTCTCTCTGGAGAACCTCTAGAAGTCTTGGGATTTTTTTGTCCCTGTGTGTGAGAACGGGAGAATTCAGTAATGGAAAGATAAGAAAAACCCAAGTTTAGGCAACCCAAGATAACAGAAATTAATAGTTAATAGATACAAATTTTTTGTTTGTTTGTTTTGACATATTATTCTCCATATTAAACTGTCCTCTTAGGGGGTGCCTGGGTGGCTCAGAGTGTTAAGCCTCTGACCAGCTCAGGTCATGATCTCAGGGTGTTGGGATCGAGTCCCACGTCGGGCTCTCTGCTCAGCAGGAAGCCTACTTCCTCCTCTCTCTCTGCCTGCCTCTCTGCCTACTTGTGATCTCTGTCTCTGTCAAATAAATAAATAAAAATCTTAAAAAAAAAAAAACTGCTACATGTCAGCAGATGCCTGACATGTATTTATCTAAGATCTAAGATGTCTCTTAGATAAGTAGCTAACACTTAGAACATACCTGATACAGTGGGCAAGCGCATTTACATAATATTACCACATTTAGTTCCTGCTATCTGTGAGATACATTCTGTTAACACCATTTTGCAGTTGAAAAAAGCGAGTATTCAAATGGTTAAATATCACGCCCAAGATCACAAACCTTGTTAGATGACAATTAGATTTAAACTTGGGCAGTTTAGGGGCCCCTGAGTGGCTAGGTTGGTTGAGGCAGGGACTCCTGATTTCAGCTCAAGTCGTCATCGGAGCGTTGTGATATTGGGTTCCCCGCTTAGCGGGGAATCTGCTTGAGATTCTCTCCTTCCCTCTGTCTTTCCCCCCACTCACGTGCTATATAGATAGATAAATAAATCTTTTTAAAAATAAAAATAAAAGAATAAACTTGGGCAGTTTTAAGTCTGAGTTTCACCTTTAAACATATACTCTACCTGATATTGTTGGCCCTTGGAATGTAACTTAGCAAGTTAACTGGGAACAATATGGTAAATGTCCTGAAGTGTTAAATTAACATATAGCATTAAAATGAACTCACTGGGCTGTGTGCCCTCTTGATTCTGTTAGCAAACATATTGGTCAACTATGGAATATGTTAACTTTTTGGTATCTGTTGACTGGATGGGTGAAAGTATTGTCTTTGCTGCAACTGCAAGAGTCCAAATATAATAATTATGGGGTAAAATATGGGGAACTATATCCATCAGGGAGTTAAGTGTCTGATTTGCGTTTAGGTTAGTAAGCTTCGATTCTAATAAAGGAGACTTTGGCTTTATAATCTGAGTGCTCTGGAAGGAGTTTTGTGAGGGGGGAAAGGAAGAGGAAACCAGAGGAGGCAGGAAGAACTGTTAGAGTGGGAATCAAGTTTGAGCTCTGTGAAAGAGGGCGGGAAGTAAAACAGGTTGGATACGCACAGTTCTAAGAGTTTCAGCCAGGCCAGGAGAATCTTTGAGCCCAACGTTAGAGGCGTCCTGCATTGGGCAGAGACAGGGATGACTTATTATCCCTGCTGCACTGATTTTTTGAGGACAGCCCATGGGAAGTGTAGCAGATTCAGTGTGGCAATTGGGGCCATCATCAATTATGATCCCCATGGCAGGAGATCTGAGGAGTGCATTTTCATAGCTGCCTAGAGCCACACAGATCTACTTTTCCAGACGGGTTCAAGGGACAATTCCTTCAACCTTCATATGGGCCTCTGTTCCTAAAGAGAAACTTAGAAGAAGGAGGTTACTGCGGCAAATTATAGCCACTATCACCGCAGTTGATCTCAGGGCTGCAACTGGCCCGCATCCACTCCCTCCTTTACTATGAATTCTAATTTCCCCTCACTCTCCACTACATGTCCTCAGGTCTTAGTGGCTTGCCTGGTATTATGACCCAAACCTTCATTCCTGAGGGGTCCAAACCCTTGACAGTCATATATTTCTCTGGCTGAGATTGCTGAACGCACATATTCACAGTTACAATGGAGCATGGGAATTCTAGGAAGCACCCAAATAGATCGCTTGGGTTCTACACGAAATCCTGTCTGGCCTCATTGTGTGAAAGCAGCCCTATATCCTTCCTCTTGCTAATAAGGACTACTTAACCCTGACAGTCTGTTAACTCCATGTTTTTTTTTTTTTTTTTTAAGACTTTATTTATTTATTTTACAGAGAGAGAGAGGGCACAAGCAGGGGGAGCGTCAGGGGGAGAGAGAAGCATGTCCCCTGCTGAGCAGGGAGCCCCATGCAGGGCTGGATCTCAGGACACTGAGATCATGATCTGAGCTGAAGGCAGACACTTAACCAACTGAGCCACTCAGGTGCCCCTCCACATTTTTTTTTTTTAAGATTTTTTTTTAAAGACTAAGGGTGCATCTGCTCTGGGGACCTGGACCTTTGGCCCTGCAGAGCCCAGAGTTACAGAGAAGAAAGTACAAAATTTCCCAGTTGGTCAGTGGGTGTGGTAAGTGGAGTTACTTCTGCTTCTGCTCTTTGGTTGCTGGAACCCTGTACTTTTCCTATTTGGGACACAGTATCATTTAGAGCTCTCTTGTTCAATAAGCACACTGGATCCTGAAGAATGGTACCCATGCCTCTGAGCTGTTGCTTTAGCTGTGCATTTAGAAAGCCAGTCTTTCCCCTCCTCCTGCCCTCCCTCCTTTCTCTTCCTCTGTCTCACACTCTCTTTCTCTTGCCCTCTTTCTTTCTCTCCCTTCTGTCCCCTTCCACCTCTCTCCCTTGGAGCTGGAGTGTGTTGTGTCTTTTCTTTTGTTCTAAAGTAAACACCAATCATCTCTTCTCACTAGTCCTCTACTGTCTTCCAGAGGTAAGTGATATTACTGAAGTATCTTCAGCAGCAATTAGGGGAGTTGTTCTGAACTGTGATTAAATAGAATGTCATAGTTTAGCTAATTCTTGGTTATACCTCTCTGTGACTTTGATTTTACTTTCAGTCTAGCAGAGCCATCTGGTGATGACCTGCACTATGTTTTCATTTTTGATGTTTGTCTTTTCTCTTTCCCAGATTTGATAAATGATTTGTCCTCACTTGATCTACTGATCCAGGATACAAAAGAGGTCCCAAGCCGTAGTCCTGATGACAAATGTGCAGTGTCCTTGGTTATGATGGGCTCTTACTGAAGGTAATTAACTGCTGCGATAGAAAGATTTTCTCTTCTTCAAATATACCCTTCTGAGCTAGTTTGGGAAATACCCATTCCTCATTTCTAAGGCACATGGATACTGATGTTACTGGTTATCACTTGGATAAATAGGCAACATCCTCTTTCAAGCCTTTCTTCACAGATTTACAGCTCAGTATTTGACATATACTTCATAATTATCATAAGCAAAGTATGTGGGGAGAGGATTTGTAAAATGCAGGCACATGTCTATTTTCTTCACCACTGTATACACAGCACTTAGCATAGTGCTTGCCACATCAAGGGCACTCAGAAATGTCACTTAAATAAATATTAATGATCTAAAAGTATATCTCTGTTGTCTTTACATAAGAATAAAATATGAGTAAAAAGGATCAAATATCCTTTGTTTCTTGGTGTCCATAGGGTAGTTTTTATTTTTTCAGTGGAATTTCACAGACTACTCTTATCGGTATTCCTCTCTGGTGGTCCTCTTTTCTATTTAAGAACTTTCAGAATGCCTTCTCTTTTGTTGTGTTTTAGAAAATTTTCAGAAGGCAATGTTTTTGTATTACTTCTGCTTATGATGGGACTAGATGTTCTCTATTTCTACAATTAGCTCCCCACCTTCTGCCAAAGAATGTTTCTTCTATTTTTGATTATTGATTCTGTGTCTTGTGTTTTATGTTCATTTTTGGAATCTCAGTATACTTTAGGTTGATTGAGAATCAATTGAGATGCATTATCCTCCCACCCCCGCCCCCGTAATTAAGGAGAAAATGTCATTATCAATGAGTTACCAAATTCATTCTAATGTAAGATGTATAGGTTCCTGTCATTTGACTGAGCTTTGTAAACTATACTTGGTGCAGTGTAGAAATGGGGAGGTAATAAAGATACTAATAAAGATACTAATATTCCAAAATAGGAATTCAGGTTAATAGGTCCTGTTAATAATTTTGGGAACCAAGTTACATATTCAGCAAGTAGACATTGTGCATTTCAACTGGCTGGACTTCTTAGTTGTTGGAATGCAATTCAACATGACCCTGGTTGGGTGCCTGGGTGGCTCAGTCAGTTAAGCATTTGCCTTAGCTTAGTCATGCCTGGGATCAAGCCCCGTATTGGGTTCCCTACTCAGTGGGGAGCTTGCTTCTCCCTCTCCCTCTGTTGCTCCTCCCACCCCACCCCCTGTGCCCTCTCACTATCTCTCAAATAAATAAATAAATAAATAAATAAGATCTTAAAAAAAAATTACCCTGGTCTCAGGATGATGGTTGTCCAAGAGAGGAGGATGAGGCTAGGAATTCTCTTAGAGTGACAGAGACTCATTAGATTGGCCAAGTTGAGAATAGGTTGCTATATATTTCTCATATGCTTTTCAAGGATTCAGCAGGCCAAGAACTACAAGAAGAAGGATATGTGTTTTATTTTGAGTAGTAACTCAAGGTTGCATGCAAAACTCTTAGGTTCAGGATTTCAAAATGCAGGCAATACTGAGAGAAAATATTTATGACATATGCCCACACATTTGGTTAATACAACATTTACATTTATACCTGTCAGTGAGCTAAGCAGGGAGCAAGGGAATGAATGGGGTAGGACAATAGGGAGTCATACCAACTTAACAGGAACAATCAGTGTTTCAGTGCCAGGCTGCTGTCGTTGCCAGC